CCGCCCTCCCAGCCGCCCCGTCGGGAAATCAGCGAGCGGCACTGCGGCGCGGCGGCGGCTCTAACTCGGCGCGACAGGTAAGCGACAGAAGGACCCCGGCCAGAGTTCTCCGGCTTCTCGGGACATCCCTGCAGTCGAACTCGCTTTTAACAAGTCCTCGCTTCCCATCCTCCTCCTCTTCCTTCTCACCACCAGCCTTCACTTCTTCTTCCTTACCACAGTAAAATGAAGGGGCTGGGCCAGACTCGCCCCTCCTGCCCTCGGTCTGGCCTGTGGCGGTGGCCTTTAGCTCCTCCCTCGCGAGGAGCCCCCTACACCTGTGCGCTTAGGAACAGAGGAATCAATGAGGAGCCTACATTGGAACCTGGAGGAGGGGGAGGGAGAAGTCATAGCCCTCCCTCCGGGGCTTTGCACCCTCTTCCCTTCACCCACCTGTGTCCCCGCATTCCTTCCGTGCCCGGCTTGCTGGGTTGGGCCACCTCTTGTGCTCCTGAAAATCTTAAAATAAACTTAGAGTTTCCTCGTGCGATGCCACGTCACACCTGAGCAGAAGGGGTGCTGGAGAGGAGCCTCCCTGAGGCGGTCTGAGCCCTGCTTGACTCCCTATGCTTGAGCCTTTGGGGGATGGGCTAGGAGCTCTGTGGTATTGTGGGGAAGGGGTCTGGCGGGTGTTCATGACTGTGACTGTCACCAACTTCCCGATTTCTCATCACTTATTCCGAGCCCAGACTGACAGAAAGGAGAAACAGCTTGTTACTTTTCCCCCGGGGCTAGTCATCACAGACCCAGATCTGTGCGGAGGGTAGCGATGGTGGTCAGTTTGCCTGCAAGGCTTAGACCAGACCTTCCATGTTAGCCAGTAACCTATTGCAGCAGTTCCAAGGAGGGTTTTAATAGCCCCAGACCCACAAGCGCAGCAGATGCTGGGTGAGGTTAGTAACTCTGGACACACCAAAGAGCCTCCAGGGCTTATACTCATCTTGCCAGAGGTGTGGATGCACTACGCAAGCCCTGTTCTCTCCTGCAGATGAGTTGTATCTATCAGAGGAAGGGTAAGAAGGATAAAAGAGACAAATTCATGTGATGACTAGAACAAGGTAAGGCACGAGGTTTGAAATATACTTCTAGAAGCTACTATCACTGTAGGCATTTTTCTAGCTCCAGTTCTTTACAATACCATATACTTTAGAAACCCAGAGGTAAGGAGAGAAATCTGCTTCCAGGGCACCAGGGCAAAGAGCAGGACAGGACTGTCAAAGGGAACAGAGAAGTCTGGAGCTGGCTGCCCAAGATGACCTCACCTCTGTAATCCTGCTGCTGACTCCCACCCACAGCAGCAGGGAAGAGCCCGGGCCTGAGAAGGGGAGCCCTGATGCATGTGGAGTGTCCTCTGAGATCAGAAACCTCTTAGCCCAAGTTCAGCTGGGAGAAACCTGGACAGGAAATAGGACCATGGTTTAGTCTATGCAGTCAGCGCCTAGGACAGAAGTCAGGACCAAGAGGGGCAGCTAGTCCTAGAGCCAAAAGCTTCTCAATGTTGGGAGGCAGTGGATATAATGGAGGCGGGCAGCTGACTCAGCCCTGTCACTAATTTAGCCGCACAACCTTGGCCAAATCACATAAACACTCCCTGGGTGGGGAGCAAATGAGAAGGTATATATGTGAAAGTGTTTGGCAAAACTCTGAGCACCCGCAAAATGTAAGACAGTATCATGTCCTGGTTAAGTGGGCTTTGCAAAGAGAGACATGGACCTTAGTGCAAATTCTGTCTCTGCTACTTCCTAGCTGTGTGACCTTGTTCAGAACTGTAATTTGATGGGATAGGGTAAGTAGTAATATTTAAAATATTTTCTTCAACATCCTCTGCCTCCTACAGATGTGTGCCAAAATCTCTAGCTCTGAAAGTAAAGCCGAGGACCAGAGTGGGTGTGCATGTGCTAGAGGGACCCAGTGAATGGCTGGGCCACCGCTTGGGTGAACTCCACATACAGACCTCTGCCCCTCTTTGGGAAAGCCCAAAGTGTCTATTCTCATTTGATGGGGATGAGAGTGAAGATTTGAATAAGCAAGAGGTCAAGTGCAGGGCAGTGCCTGTCTCTGTGTCTAGCTCAATGCCGTAATTGTGCTGTGTGAAAGGCTTGTGTGGTGAACAAGGATAGGGCAGTCGGGGAGAAAAGGACTGTTGGAAGACTCTAATGGCACCTGAAAGCTCTGTGGGGTTCGGTTATTCTCTTGTTCCCCCTCTCAACCTGGTCCTGAGCTGTAGGTAGTGATTTGAAGGAAGGAAGAAACCCAGTCCTCACCCTCAGCTCTGCATATAATAGAGAACAAGGGACAGACAACCTGGGCAGGGAAATCACATAACCATCTTCCCCAGGGCTGTAGGGATTGAAAGGTAAACTGGATTGGTCAGGAGATGCATTCTGGAGGCAGAAGTTTGGGAGCCAGGACCTAAGGATTGGGAAAGAGCAGAAAAACAGGATCTAGATGGCCTAGTGTCTGGGCCTATTGGTTCTCCTTCCTCCATAAAATCTAGTGGGAAAGTTCCACATGGGGAAAGCATGTGTAGTGATTGAAACTTGAACAAACATACCCAGATACTGTGGGTAATGAGATGAGTCTTCGTCTAAGAAGGCTTCTTGGAAGAGGGGGGCTTTGTCAAGTAAGAGTATGAAAGAAAAGAAATGTCACTTGTTTAACAAGAATACAGACAGTCCCTGACTTATGATGGTTCAACTTATGATCTTTTTACTGTACCATTGGTTTATTGGGAAGTAATCCCATGGTAAAGTGAGGAGCATCTGTAAAATGGAAAAGCGTTGGGGAGGAAAAGAAAGCCAATGCCAAGCATCTGGTCAGGCTTGAGGGTGAGTAGCAAACAGGAAGCAGACTGCTCAGGCTTAGTTTCTGCCACAATCAAATAGAGCTAAAGGAATATGAATGTGGCTGTTTTGATTCTGAAAGGGAGAAAGAGGCCTGAGGCAAAGGAGGCTGGCAGGCAGCTGCTGCTGATCCTCCAGATGTTCAAAGATAAGGGCACAATTTCAAGTGACAGTTTGGAGAGTGAAGAAGGGGAGGATCCAGGAGGCAGAGAATGAATCAGCCAGACTTGGGAGTGTGTGTGTGTGTGTGTGTGGGGGGGGGGGCGACACTGAGAAGGATTTGAAAACTACTTGCCTGGGAGTAGAGCAGGGGCAAGGATTTCCATGCTACTGGCAACAGTGGGAAAATTGGGAAGAGGCTATCTTAGAGACCTGGGCACAGAACCTGAGTTCAAGGTGTGGCATGTTGAGTATCTGGTGGGGCTGCACTGTGTAGAAGTTCTACAGCCAAGAACAGACTCCTACAGATGTGTGGGGTGAAGAAGGAAAATTCCTAATTCTCCACTTTCCCATCACCCTCCTCCAATCTGGAGAATGGCCCAAGCCTTCAGAAATACCCTCCTGTCACACTCCCTTTTTAGCCCTTCCCTGTTCCTTGCACCCCCATAACCAACAGATGATAAGATTCTATTGAGATTCTTCTTTTTTGCTTTCTCTCAAGCTCAGACTGGTTGAGATTAGAGAATCCCACCTCATCCCTACCTGGGAACCTTCTTCATCTCTGGTTTCCTAGGGATGCCTGGCTGTATACTCCTATCCCACCTGGCAAGGTCTGGAGATCCTCTTCCACCAGCCAGTGGTGTGGTGATTAAAGTGGCTGGATTTCACATGGCCGACTCCTTATTTCAACTCTTGGACCTGGTGGCTTGAAAAATATGCCAGGGGGACCAGCAGATGGCATAATGGTTATATCACTGGACTCCCACATAGTTGACCACAGTTCGAGTCCTGGACCTGGTGGCTTAAACTCATGCTGGGTGCATGTGTGTGCGTGCCCAAGATCCTGAGAGAAGAATGGAAGACAAGAGATAGTGGCATGACCATCTTCCCTGGGGCACATGTGCCCTATAGCAAAAATCTCTCTCTAAAAAAAAATGCCAGGCACATGTCATGTGTGCCCAAAATCCTGAGAGAAGAATACAGAAGAGGTTACAGCATGGCCGTCCCTCCTGGGGAGTGATTTTGTACTTTCTGTTTGTCTGTCTGTCTGTCTGTCCCTCTCTGATAAGTACATACACCTTATGGTAAAATTATACCAAGAAAAAAAAAAACACCTGGCAGCCGTTGAACTCTTTTTATTTTTTTTTTGTCACATACTATTTTGATATTCAGTGACTTTTATTTGGAATAAGTTGACAAATATTTACTGAGCACCTACTATATGCCAAGCAATGTTCTAGCTACACAGTGAACAAAGTTGGGCTGGGTTTTTCAATTGAAAATTCATGTTTGAGTAACTTAAGATTAAAATGTTATACAAACATACAATGAACTTAGATATGCTAGGCAATAAACTGGCTACAGAAATAATTTTTGGTACATCTTTCCAGGAAAATAAGCCATAGTACTGCAGCTTTAGTTTTTGGGAAAAGCTGAAATGTCTTCAAGGTGTAATTATGGGGGAAAGTGAAACCTTGAAGTATTCTGTGGTCAATAGGGTCAGAGGTGGGAGTTGGGCTTTGGAAGAGCCAATCTGCTCCTCTGTTCATGGCATGAGTACAGAGGACCTAAAATGAGTGCTACTTTTGATGGGGAGAAAGCTCTTGCAAGAAAGGATAGTCATTGGGCCAAACACCTACTCAGCCCCCTCCCCACCACCAGTAGCTTGAAATTGACTTGTCCCATCCTTTCCATGAAGCCTAGCTCCACACACCTGTGGCCTTGGTGAGAGTGGTGGCAGTTGTTGTTTTTCAAAGAAACCCATAATCAAACCTTAGTCTGAGTAATTTGAGCAAACATCCCTGTGGAGATGTCAGTGAGTGCTTGCTTCCTGGCTGCCACGTCTCCCTCCCGGGGCTGAGCCACTCAGTTGATAAACAGGAAGAAACCGGAGGTGAGCCACTCAGTTGATAAACAGGAAGAAACTTTGTTACAGAGGCCACCTGGCCAGCAAGGGCGTGTTCAGGGTGGCTAACCCTGGCTTCACCAAAGCCGTAAGTTTGCCTAGGACTTTCAGTTTCAGCATTTTTAAAATTAAAATTTATTTATATCTTCCATGAATGAGAAATGGGGAGACAGAAAGCACCCCAACAGGGTCTCAGCACATGACCCATCCCCAGCTTCAGCCAGCACTGGATCATGGGCATATGCGTGTACATGCCCAAAGTGCTCAGGGAGGTCTTCAGATACAAACCAAGAACCTTCCTATGTGGATCTGCCTTGCAGAGCATGGCATTTTACTATCAAGCCATCATCCAGCCCCCAGTTTTTGCATTTTAAAAGAGTTTGCATCCTTGAGTGGGAGCTGGACAAGGGAAAATGGCAAGGAAGGGACTAAGGGTAAAGTACGGAGAGGCTCAGGAACCAGCCCTGCTCCAGGCTCAGAACCATACCCAGTGTCCAAATACCCCACTGGGTATGACCTCCAGTGGGGAGGTCAGAGTATAGTGACCAGAGCAATGGCCTGGGAGTTAGGAGAATAGGTTCATAGAAGCCACTGTGTTCTATAGAAGTTACCTAACAACTGTGGCCTCACCTGTAAAATGAGAGCACTGGGAGGCCAGCAGAAAATCACACTGGGCTCATGTCTGTATGTGCATGTCCAAAATCCTGAGAGCAGAATGGAGGAGAGAGGATTGTGGTGTGTCATTTCCCTTGGGGAGTGACTTCTCACTTTCCCTCTCTCTGTCTCCCTCTGTCTCTCTCCATCAAGTACACATGCACTATGGCAAAAACCTAAAGAAAAAGATTTATTATTCAAAATTCATAAAACTAAATAAAAGTAAAAGAAATTTAAATAAAAATTTCCAATGACATTCTTTGTTAAGTCTACGGTACTTTTTTTTCTGTTATTAAAGCTTAAAGTTGCATTAGGACTTTAGGTATATTCTATATATGCATAAATAATAACCAAAATGAACATTTAACAAAATAATACCCATATTATATGTGACATACTTCTTTTTTTACTATAGGGAACATGCACTTGCTAGAGAGACAGAGAGATAGAGGGAAAGTGAGAAAGCATCTTCGGGGGGATGGCCATGCCGCAATCCCTTCTCCATTCTCCTTTCAGGATTTTGAGTGTACATGCTCTCGGCATGTTTTTCAAACTGCCAGATCCAGGACTTGCTCTCAGCATGTTTTTCAAACTGCCAGATCCAGGACTTGAACCTCGTAGTTGGCCATGTGGGATCCAGCTGCCTTAACCAACATTATACCAGCTAGGCACTTGTGACATATTTATATTTTTTCCTTCCCTTTCCATTCCATTCCATTCTGTTGTTCTGTTTTTAAAAGAAGGGTTATGCACTCACCAGAGGGAGACAGAAAAGGAGAAAGCACTTCCCTTGGGAATGATCACATTGCAGTCTCTTTTGCTCCCTCTCTCTCTCCTTTGAGAATTTCAGGCACACATGTACCTGTGCCCAGTGTGTGTTTCATGTTACCAGGTCTAGGAACCACATGGGGTCCAGCTGCCTTAACCACCAGGCCACACAGCTGACCCTATTCTGTTTTTTGTTGTTGCTATAGGGTACATGCACTCACCAGAGAGGGAAGGAGGGAGGGAGAGAAAGAGGAAGGTAGGAGAGAGAGAGAAATCGCCCACCAGAGGAAATGGCCATGCTGCAGTTCCTTCTCCTCCAGCTGTCTCTTGGGATTTTGGGCACACATGCACACGCTCCTGGCATGATTTATTATTTTTTTTGGAGAGGTTTTTGCTATAGGGTGTGTGTGCTCGCCAGAAAGACAGAGAGATAGAAAGCAAGAAATCACCCCCCAGGGGGGATGGCCACACCACAATCCCCTCTCCTTCATTCTCCTCTCAGGATCCTGGGCACATACACGTGAGTTTAAGCCACCGGGTCTGGGACTCGAACCATGGTCGACTACATGGGAATCCCGTGACATAGCCATTAAGCTAACTGCTGGTCCCCTGGCATGATTTTCAAGCCACCAGATCCAAGACTCCAACTGTGCAGCCAGCCATTGTACAATCACCTGAGAGAGGCAGACTGAGTGAGGAAGTGAGAAAACACACTCACCCCCAGATGGGGGGGACACATCCCTCCATTCTCCACTCAGGATTTTGGACACACATCCACATGCACCTGGTGTGTTTTTGAGGCTCCAGGTCTGGGACTCAAACCATGCAGATGGCCATGTGGGATCCAGCCACCTTAACCATTGCACCACTCACTGGCCCCCTATTTTTTTAAATAATTTATTTTATGCTGATTTACAGTACTCTACACTTATTTTACAATACTATAAAGCTTTGTAATGAGTAGTTTGATAGACACTAGGCTCGTGTCCTCTCAGTATTTAAATCAAGATTATTCGAAGAGTTACAGAACCAAGGATGGCTGGGGACATGTGCTCAGAAGCAGCAGAAGGGGAGTGAGTAGTTGTGGGGGGTACACTTGCTGTGGACCTGGAGGTCAGGTGAGGGAAGAAACAGGTCAGAGGGCAGATCCTGTGAAGCTCTGTATTTGAAAATACAATAGAGGCTGTTTCTTCCCCACAGCTAGTAGCGGGTGGCCTCCTGGACCTCACTAACCCTGCTTTTGGGAATCATCTATATAATGTGCAGAGTCCTTAATCAAGAGTCCTGTGGCTCCCACTGGATTATGTGTGTCTCCTGAAGGACCCTTTACTGTTGCCCTTGTGCTGAGCAAACAACCTAGAGAGAGCCCCTATTCCAAGGCTAATCACAGGTGTCTCATTTCCTTTCAGGATGTGGTTAGTACCTTGAGAAACTGCAGGTTCCAGAGAGAACACTTCAGACAGCCAGGTTGGATTGAGAGAGCTGATGCCTGGAGAGGGCTCAGTTAAATCCTACATTTCTTTCTCCTGGGGAAATGAAAAGAGCAAAGACAAACCTTAGTGCAAGAAATTGCAAGCCAGTGCCAAGATGAGTGATTATGAATGAACTTAGCAATTCCAAGTGAATCAGTCAGAGAAGTCTTCCTGGAGGAAGTGAGCCTTGAGTGCTGGCAATAGCTAGGGAGTACAATATTTCTATGCCTTTGTTTCTAATTGTGCTCCCTCTCTTATGGGAAGGTAGATAAAAAGTAGCAGAAAGATGTAGCCTGTAGGATGACTCAACACTATCATAACAAACACCCCCTTCTGCAGGCCCTCTATCTGGACTTAACTGGTGCAGTTCAGAATTGATGAGTTGTCTACCTCAAACAGAACTTCCTGTGCTGTTCCCAGCATGGCCAACTCCTGGGACAGGAAACTGAGTCTCTGTTTTCTCCTTTTTTTTTTTTTAAGAGGTTTTTGCTATAGGGCACGTGCGCTCTTCAGACAGACAGAGAGAGACAGAGAGAGAGAAAGCGAGAAATCACCCCCCAGGGGAGATGGCCACAATCCCTTCTCCTCTCAGGATCTTGGGCACACACACACATGCGCCCGGCATGAGTTTTAAACCACTGGGTCCGGGACACGAACTGCGGTCGACTGCTTGGGAGTCCAGCCACATAGCCATTACGCTAACTGCTGGTCCCATTTTTTTTTGTACACTTGCCAGAAACACAGAGGTAAGAGGAAACGCCCTCAACTATGGTCATGCAGCAATCCCTTTTCCTCCATTTCTCCCTCCTGTTAGGATTTTGGGCATACATGCTCACATGCCAGATGTTTTCAAGTCACCAGGACTGGGATTCTGACTATTGGCCATGTGGGATCCACTCCCTTAACCACTAGGTTATAAGGGCAGCTCCCCTGTTTACTCCTTAAATCTGTCTTCAAGTCCATAGGGGACTCCGCCTTTCTCAGCTTGGTACTTACTGTCTCTGCTATTACTGTATCTTAATTTTATTAATTTTTTTTGGAGAGGTTTTTGCTATAGGGTGTGTGCCCTCGCCAGAAAGACAGAAAGCAAGAAATCATGCCCCCCACCCCCAACCCCACCCCCGCCGCAGGGGGGATGGCCACGCCTCAATCCCTTCTCCATTCTCCTCTCGGGATCTTGGGCACGAACGCACACACGCCCTGCATGAGTTTAAGCCACCAGATCCAGGACTCAAACCGCAGTCGACTAAATGGAGTCCAGTGACATAGCCATTACACCAACTGCTGGTCCCAATTTTATTAAATTTTTATTAGGTAGTATCACTAGGGTTCAAAGGGCGAAGGGGCAGTTAGTTAGTGAAAGTTAATTTTCACTAAGTGTTCCTGTCTCCTCCCTAAGTGCTACCTGGACCAAGTGGTTTCACGCTTGTTCTCCAATTAAACTTTAAAATCCCTTGGGGAAAGGAATTGAGAACATCCCAACCCATTACCCAAAGGAGTTTTCCTAGCACCGTGTCCTGCCTCCTCTGTCAGCACTGCTTCTTAGATTGGATTGCCAAGCTCCTCTTAACCGGCCATCCAGCTCCCAAGCAGGTTCATCCTAAACACCCTCTACCAGCTGTCACATTGCTCTTCCTGCAGGCTGGACTCCTGACTAATCCTTTACTGCTCCCCATGCCTCCGGTCAAGGGCAGACTGCTTGGTGTGATGAATCAGGTCCTCATGGCATGGCTTCAGCTGCCTCTGCAGGCCCATCTGCTGCTGCTCCCATGAGAGCATAGTCCCACCAGACCAAACTATTGATACTTGCAGGTCCCTGATTGGTCATGTTGTCTGCACCTCTGGCCTTTGCATGTGCTATTCTCTCTGCCTGAAATGTACTTACCTCGCCTGGCCAACTCCTGCTCATTAGTTAGTGCTCAACTCAAGTTTTTCCTCTGTGAGACCTTCACAGAAGACCCCCTCTCCTTCAGCACCGGAGGGTATCTCTTCTGCCACTTTCTCATTTGGTAATCTCTGCATAAAATCTGTTTAAAATCCCCTAATTGACGGTGTGCTCCTTGAGGGCTGAGTTTACTCATCTCTGTATCCCCCTCCTCTGGCAGAGTATCTGGCAGATAGCAAGTGTTCAGTAAGTATTGGCACAATGAATAAATCTCTCTCCCATCTCTTATGTAATACTTAATTAAGAAAAAAAAAAAGGCACTCGGATCACCAGGTGGCATGGTGTTTAAAACACTGGACTCCCACATGGTTGAGTATGATTCAAGTCCTGGAACTGGCAGCTAGCTCTTTCTCTCTCTGTCTCTCTGGTGAGCATATGTGCCCTATAGCAAATTAAATAATAATAATAATTATAAATCAGAAAAAAAAGACACAGAGATATCCTTTATTTTATTTTTTTTAAAGTTTTACTATAGGGCACATGTACTTGTCAGGGAGGTTGAGGGTAGGAGATAGAGAGAAAGCAAGAAATCACCCACAAGGGATGATGGCCATGCTGTAATCCATTCTCCTCTCAGGATTTTGGGCACACACACACACACACACACACACACACACACACACACGTGCCTGGCATGTTTCTCAAGCCTCCTAACACAAGACTCAAACAGAGAAGTCAGTCATTGGGATCTAGCCATCTTAACTACCACATCAAGAATTTATTTATTTATTTAGTCATTCATTCATTCATTTATAATTTGTCCAGAGAGGAAGAGAAAGGGAAAGTGAGAAAGCCAGCTGCCAGGTCCAGGATTCAAACCATAGCTGACCATGTGAAAGTTCAGTGCCTTGACCACCACACCCCCTGCTGGCCCTGCCTTTATTTGATATTTCATTTTAATTATTTCATGAGAGAGAGCACATTTACATTCGTGTGAAAAAGAGACAGGCAGGCAGCCAGGCATACCCAGCAGGGTCTGGTCACTTCACAGCCTCCCTTCCCAAGCTCTCCAGTTGGTCTGGATCTTGAGTGTGTACCTAGCATGTTTTAGGTCAATTTGGGATCCAAACTCACAGTTGGTTGTGTGGCTCCTAGCATTGTAGAGCACTATGCTTCTGTATGTGCCACAGAGACTGGGTCCCTTTGTTTGATATTTGATGCCCCTGCCGAATGTGACATTATAAAAGAAAACACCTGGGGCCAGCAGGTGGTGTGGAGGTTAAGGCACTGAATCTCACATGGCCAACTGCACGGGCATCAAGTCCTAGACTCAGTGGCTTGAAAATCATGCCAGGCACATGTTTGTGCCTGCCCAAAATCCCAAAAGGAGAAGGGATTACAGGGTGGCCAATCCCTACCCCCAAGTGGGTGATTTCTCACTTTTTCTGTCTCTGACTAGCACACATGCCCTATAGCAAAACTTATTTAAAAAAATAAAAAGAATAAAAGAAAAAAAAATCCTCCATCGCAAAGCCCTATTCCCTATCATGGTCATGACAGCCACATATTCCCCAGATTCAGGTGACTTCAGATACCAGGCTCCTCCATAGGCAGGAGCATTAAATAGTTCAACCAGTTACTTTTTTTTTGAAAGGTTTTTGATATAGGGCACGTGCAGTCTCCAGAAAGAGAGGGGACCAGCAGTTGGTGTAGTGGCTATGTTGAAGGGACCAGCAGTTGGTGGTGTGGCTATGTTGCTGGACTCCCTTGTAGTCAACCATGGTCCGAGTACCGGACCTAGTGGCTTAAATTCACGCCAGGCGCATGTGCGTACATGCCCAAGATCCCAAGAGGAGAATGGAGGAGAAGGCCAACTGCTGGCCCCTCAACCAGTTACTTTTTTTTTTTTTTTTTTAAGGTTTTTTTCCTTTTATTTATTTATTTTTTAATTTGACCGGAGAGGGACAGAGTGTGTGTGTGAGAGAGAGAGGAGAGTGAGAAAGTAAGCGACAAGGTCCAGGACTCAAACCATGGTCAGCCATGTGGGACTCCAGTGCCCTCAACCACCACGCCACCTGCTGGCCCCTCAACCAGTTACTTTTAAGCAAAACATGTAAGGAGTGATGAGCATGACTTTGGCCAAGGACTAGATGCTTGAGGATAATTTCTGGGAAGCTAAGCAGAGATTTATTAAATATAATAATAGAAATCATTGATAACCATTTATTGACTACTTAATATTAGGTTGTCCGAAAAGTCATGACATAATTTTTCTGTGTCAAAAAAAAACAAAAAACAAACAAACAAAAAAAAACCAGCCCTAGGAAGTAGGTCCAGGTTCTGTGTCCAAAAAAAAAAAAAAACCCACTAGCCCTAGAAAGTAGGTGCCAACCAGCAGTTTGCGTAATGGCTATGTTGCTGGACTCCCATGTAGTTGACCGTGGTTTGAGTCCTGGGCCCAGTGTCTTAAACTCACACCAGGCACGTGTGTGTGTGTACCCAAGATCCCAAGAGGAGAATGGAGGAGAAGGGATTGCAGCATGGCCATCTCCCCTGGGGGATGATTTCTCGCTTTCTGTCTCTCTGTCTTCCTGGCGAGTGCATGTACCCTATAGCACAAACTTCTCAAAAAAACAAACAAAAACTAAGAAAAAAGGAATTAGGTGCTAGGTAAAAATGAGTCATGACTTTTCCAGCAACCCAATATATGATAGGGACTCCGTTGAGTATTTTACATACATTATCTGATTTAATCCTCACCACAACCCTGTGAGTTAGGTATTAGTTACCTCTACTTTATAAATAAGGAAATTGAGGCTTAGAGTGATTAAATAAATTGCCCAAGGGTCACACAGCTGCTAATGATAAAAAAAATCAACACTTTTGAGAACTTAGTCTGTGTAGAGACTTCTATGATTTTTTTCATGATTATTTTTCTTGTTTTTAAAGTTAATCCTTAAAACAGTCCTAAGATGGGGCCGGCAGGTGGTTGGGACACTGGACTCCCACATGGTCAACCACGATTTGAGTCCTGGACCTGGCAGCTTGCTTTCTCTCTTTCCTTCTCTGTCTCTCTCTAGTCAAAATAAATAAATAATAATAATGAATAAAATTAATTAATAATTCTTGGGGGAAAATCATTAAAAATAAGCCCTAGGAAGTAGGTGCTATTACTAGAAGGGACAGAACCAGGATTTTTGTCCAGGCCTCTTGTCTCCAACATCTAGCACACAACCAGGGAGGCTCATGTTTCCAGAGCTCTCCATAATGTTTGCAAACATTCCCTCCCTGAGCCATGGACTGTGTGCCTAGGGATGGAAGCTGGTGAATGCCCTTGCCCAAGCCTGCCTGGAAGTTGTTGTCATGGAATATTAGATTTTTAAAAAATATATATTAACCACCAGCAGGTGGTATGGTGGTTAAGGAAGCTGGACTCCCACATGGCTGACTGCAGTTCGAGTTCTGACCTGGCAGCTTGCCTTCTCACTTTCCTTCTCTCTCTCTCACTCAGTCTCTATCTGGTCAAATTTAAATAAATAAATAAATAAATTTAAATAAAATAATTCTTTAAAATATATATATTAAATACAGATACAGAAGAATATTTATTAAAATGTAGAATATAAAGAACGACAGTACCACCAGCAGCCACCATTCACTTCAAGAAAAAATACTACTTCAAAGTTCCTTATTTGCCATCTCTAATCCCCTACCCTTTCCTTCCTCTTGAAAAACTTTGGTTTTATTGTTCTTTTCACTTTTTTTATAGCTTCACCACATATTTGTATTCATAAATGATATATTGCTTTGTTTTAGCATATTTTAAATTTTTCTATAAGTGGGATCATGCTGTGTATGTCTTTCCACATATTACTGTTTTATCCAGCATTGCATCTGCATTGTTGCAGGGAGAAATGGTTCACACCAGGTCATTTCTGTAGAGGACTCCAGGATATGGACATGTCATATTTCTATTAATTCATTCTACTGCTTGCTGGTGGTCTTGTAGGCTATTATCAGTTTTTGCCATTTTAGTCAGAGCTGCTTATGCATTCAGGTACTTGCTTCCTGGTTCATCCGCCAGTACCAGCATTTATCTGGGATATAAAACTAGGAGAGGAATTGCTGGCTTATAGGGTAAGGCATTTAATTTACTTGATAACACCAAGTTCTTTCTCAAAGTGGTTCTGTTGATAAAATGTCTTCATGTTGTATTTCAGTGCTCTGGTTACTCTAGATCCATGAATGTCAAAATCTTAGAGTAGGAAAGAAACACTGAGTTTATCCTCCTCATTTTAGGGATGAAAGAAATTTAGACACAGGAAAGTTGAAACAGTGTTCGGGTGATGACTTCATTCAGCAATAAAGCCTGAATTTGAGGCCCAAACACCCTTCTTCCTTCCTGCCACCTTCCCACCCATCTTGGCTCATTTCTCACTCTCATCCCCTCCTCTTGCAGGCAGAAGCCCAGTGTGAGACCACAACATATCGAGCGGTTTTCAAGGTCAGGCCCAGGACTGGAACCGACCCAGCTGGGGTCCCCATTGGTGCTAGAGGATGAGGCTCCTCCGCAGACGCCACATGCCCCTGCGCCTGGCCATGGTTGGCAGTGCCTTTGTGCTCTTCCTCTTCATCCTGCAGAGGGACGTAAGCAGCAGGGAGCAGGCCACAGAGAAACCATGGCTGAGGTCCCTGGTCAACCAGAAGGATCATGTCCTGGACCTCATGCTTGGAGCCATGAACAACCTTAGAGATTCGATGCCCAAGCTCCAGATCAGGGCTCCGGAACCCCAGCAGAATCTGGTCTCCATGAACCAGCCCTGCCTTCCTGGGTTCTATACCCCAGCTGAGCTGAAGCCCTTCTGGGAACGGCCACCGCAGGACCCCAAAAGCCCTGGGGCAGATGGAAAAGCATTTCAGAAGAACAACTGGACCCCCCTGGAGACTCAAGAAAAGGAAGAGGGCTATAAAAAGCATTGCTTCAATGCCTTTGCCAGTGACCGGATCTCCCTGCAGAGGGCCCTGGGGCCAGATACCCGACCCCCTGAGTAAGGAGCACTGAGTCCTGGGGCTAGGCCAGAGCTTTGCTACAAGCGTGGCTGGTATTGGCCCTAGCCACAGGCCACGTGCCAGGAAGAGAGTTAAAGGGAATTTTAGAATGCAAGCAAGGATTTCCTCTAAGCTTTCATTTCTTTTCTTGCTCAGTTGCCCTGATCCCAAGGTTAAGGTTCAGGAATATTATGGTCAGCCAGAGGCGTAGGAAGACCAGTGAGAGTGAAACACAATTGTGAAGATAACAGGATAGAGAAGAAGGAACTCGGGGCCTGGGGCTAGGACCAGGACCTGCCACAGGAGCAACTGAAAGGGACTGGGCCCTGGTTTCAGTGGCCTTGGCCTCTACTGAGGCTTGCCTCCAAGACTTTGGGACTGTGGTCCTTTGCCATTAGAGAGGGAACATTTCCTGACAGCCCTGGTGGTCAGGACTATCCTCACACCACTGTTTTCCTCCAGCGAAGATCCCAGGAGGAGTTTTCTATTCTCAATCTTGGGCAAGGAGACCAGCACTTGAATCTCTGGGCTGTAGTCACCTCACTCTACTGCAGCCATGGCTGGGTTCACACTGTGCTGCAGTTAAAGGCTTTGTATTGGACCACTTAGCCTTGGTCTTTTTTTTTTTTTTTTTTTTTTGTGCTTTGGTTTTTTCTAACCCAGGAATTATGCTCTTCTTGGTCTTTTCTCACATGGCAGCCCACATCCCCCAATTTTTTTTTTTTGAGAGGTTTTTGCTATAGGACATGTACACTTGCCAAAAAGACAGAGTGACAGAGAGACAGAAAGCAAGAAATCATCCCCCAGAGGGGATGGCCACACCGTAATCCCTTCTCCTCCATTCTCCTCTTGGGATCTTGGGCACACATACACACGCGCCCAGTGTGAGTTTAAGCCATTGGGTCCGGGACTCGAATCACGGTTGACTACATGAGAGTCTAGCGACGTAGCCATTACGCCAACTGCTGGTCCCCAGACTCTTGATTTTTTACAGTCATGAACATGGGTTTTTCAGCATTGAAAAAGGTAGTATAGCCTAGAATGAGGAGCCACTTGGAGGTTTTAGGAGCTCCTCAGCAGAAAAGGGCATTGTGTATGAGGGCAGCCAGTGGAGAAAATAGAAAATCTCTCAGGAATGTCTATGAAAACTCTCCTGTCCAGCAGAGGAGTTCAAGAAAGGGTGTTGAACCACCTGATTCATTGAGATCCAAGATTCACACATTCCTACCCTATCCTAAATGGATCATCAAGAAGGTGGCAGCATAGCCAAGAACCACAGAGTGGTAGTACAGATGAGAACAGAGAAAAGGTCATAGGAATTGACCGTGATAGTGGTATCAGGTTACAGAGAATTAATGAGGAGAGAAACTAGAAGAACCTTTGTCTCTCATTGAGTATGGAAATTATAGTTACTTTTCTCAGATGTCAAAGTTGCCCTTTATTGCTTACCTTTCTGGGACCTCTGGATTAGATTACACTTTATGCAGTGCACATGTTATAGAGGAAGAGTCCGTCCTGGTAACTCCTAGATTGAGATCAGAGAGCAGATGAAAGAAGGGGTTAGGTCAACCTCAGCCTCACAGCTGGGACATGAAGGGTGATGTGTTTTGGAATGGGTTAGCTAGAACCTGCACAGAGATTCAGAGTAGGTGACAAATATAGGGGGAGACAGGGACAGGGAGCAGCTGTTCTCACCATACCAAAGACTGTAGGTTGGTGATTCAGAGAAGCAGAAGATGGTTTGAAGGATCTTTGAACAGAGTCCTCCCCATCCCTGGAACTCTCAGGAACCTAGAAAGCTATGTCTATACTTCCATCCTTCTAGGTGTGTTGACCAGAAGTTTCGGCGCTGTCCCCCACTCCCCACCACCAGTGTTATCATTGTGTTCCACAACGAGGCCTGGTCCACACTGCTGCGAACAGTGTACAGTGTCCTACACACCACCCCTGCCATCTTGCTGAAGGAAATCATCCTGGTGGATGATGCCAGTACTGAGGGTGAGTTTAAAGGGGTCCTGGGGAGGAGCTTGGGTCTCCCACAGGCACTATGGGTGGAGGGCAAGTTCTCAGGGGAGCTGATACAACATGGCCTGTTACCTGGCAGCTCATCATAAAAACTAGGAGCAGGGAGAAGGCAAGTAGGAGCCAGAAGGCAGGTAAACCCCATTCTGAGAGCCTGGACTTTATTCACACTTCACCCAAAGAGCTCCAAGAGCTTTGTAGCATTGGCTTCCAAGATTCCCTTTGAGTTGTCAAGCCCAAGCTCAGTTCCAACTCAAAAATGTTGGGAGAGGGCAGGACAAAAACATGGATAGACCTTCACCTCTGCTTCCTACCTGCTAGACCTCCTTCTGCTCATGAAGAAGACTCCACCTCAGATACCCTTTTGCTATAGCTGTTAATAGGTGAGGCTGCTCACCAAACTTCCATCCTTCAAAGCAGATGTCTGTAAAGACATCTGCTGACTGTTCTGTGCCTGGCCCTGACCTAGGCATAGGGGATTCCATGACCAATGAGGCAGAACCTGTCCTGGAGAGGCTCAGATATCAGATGGCCACTTATAACACCAGTCATAGTGTGATGGTTATAACACACCCCTAACAGATGTTGGAAGGGCATGAACTTGAGTCCAACACCCAGGAATACAAGTCTAGCTCTGTTAACTCTGTGACCTTGAGCAAGCACTCAGCCTCTCTGAACTTTAGTTTCTCTTTCTTTCTTTCTTTCTCCCTTCCTTCCTTCCTTCCTTCCTTCCTTCCTTCCTTCCTTCCTTCCTTTCTTCCTTTCTTTTTTTCTCTAGTTTTTATTATAGGGCCTCGCACATGCCAGAGTCAGACAGAAAGAGAGAGAGAAAAGGGAAAGTGAGAGAAATCATGCCCCAGAGGGGATGGCCATGCTGCTATCCTTTCTCCTCCATTCTCTTCTCAGTGACACAGGAACATGGGGGTGTAGGGGTGATTGGGCCCAGCATTCACAGCAGGACACAGGTTTTTGTCTCATGCTCATGAAAAATAGAGACATGAACACACAGAAGGTATAGCAAGATGGGGAGTTTATTGAAGAAGAGGGAAGGAAAAACAGGACTCCCAAGAAGAAGGGAGGAAGAGAATGGGTTGCTGAGGAGGAAATGAGGCAAAGGGCTTTTTATCTAGGTCAGAGAGATCTTGTTCAGGTTTGTTTTCAGGTGTGGCATACACAGGCATTCCCCTTGTGGTGGGAAGGGACACATGCTAGATGGGTCTAGTCATTCTTTTCCTAATGTTGGAGCATATGAAGATCAGGAGATTCTTTGTCTAGAGGCTTTGGGCCATAAAAACCATTAGCTTATCTCCCCAGAATGTGGTGGGGCCTGGAAAATAAGCGTTTGTTTTAGATCTCGGTCATGCAGCCTAGGTCAATCACTGTGCCACCACTGTAAGAGGTCAGCTAACCTGGGACCAGCAGTTGGCATAATGGCTATGTCGCTGGACTCCTATGTAGCCAACCACATTTTGAGTCCTGGACCTCGTGGCTTAAACTCACACCGGGTGCATGTGTGTGCATGCCCAAGATCCCGAGAGGAGAATGGAGGAGAAGAAACTGCGGTGTGGCCATCCACTCTGGGGCGTGATTTCTTGCTTTCGGTCTCTGTCTCTCTTTGTCTTTCTGGCGAGCATACGTGCCCTATAGCAAAAAAACTCTCAAAAAATTTAATAAAATAAATTAAAATACATGAAATAAATTTAAAAATTTTAAAAAGAGATCAGTGGAGCTGCTCTGTCTCCATCTTAAAACTTAGCCATTTTGAGATTCCATTTTGGGCCTATCCCCTAACTATATTTTTAGGGTCCCAGTCTCCTACCTTATCAGGATTTGGGGTATGTGCACATGTGTGCCTGGTATGATTTTTAAACCTCTGAGTCAGAGGCTAACTGTGGAGTCAGCCATGTGGGATCCAGCTGACTTAACCTCCATGCCACCTACTGATCCCTCTTTCTTTCCTTTTAAAATTAATTTCTTTCTTTAATGAGTAAGAGAAATAGAGATAGAGAAATAAGCACCCTCAATAGGGCCCAAACTCCATGATATACCCCCAGCCTCAGCCAGCCCTGTATCTTGGGCAATGTGCATCCATCATGTATAGGGAGACCTTGGGGTACAAACCCAGGACCTTCCCATGTGGATCAGCCTCACAGAGTGTTTTGTTAGTGCTATGCCACTGTCCAGCCCTCTTAGTTCCCTATTCGAAAAATGAGATAATTAACTCACACATAGGGAATTTAGGGATCTGAGATAGTTAATAAATGAGATAATTCATGTGCCGGAGTCCTTGGTATACAGTAAGAGTTCTCTAAGTATTAATTTCATGTTATGAGAACAATGTTCTATGGAAGATATAGCCAAGAGGTGTTATTTCTGCTGGCAGGGCTGGAGCTGGTCCACAGAGGAGTCCAGATTGGAGTCAGGTCTTAAAAGATGAGTGTCAAGGGAGAGAAGAGTGTATGAAAGGCATTCTGGAAGAGAGAATGGCATAAGCAGAGGCCTAGTCATATGAATACATTGTTTGGGAGATCTAGTGTGACTGAAGCTTAGATTTATTGTAGGAGATGAAACTAAAAAGATATTGAATTGGGGCTAGCCGATGATGTGGTGGTTAAGGTGGCTGGATGACACACATGACCAACTTGACAATTTGAATCCTGGACCCGGCAGCTTGAAAACATGGTGGGTGGGTGTGCCTGAGTACCCAAAATTCTGGGAGAAGAATTGAGAAGGGATTGTGGCATGGCCATCCCTCCCTAGAGGAAGATTTCATACTTTTCCCCTCTCTCTCTTTCTGTCTCCAGCAAGCACACATGATCTATACAATAATAATAATAATAATAATAATTTTTTAAAAATAAAAAATGTTGAATTGACATTCATGCCATACTACAAGTATTTACTTACTTTTAGAAACTGAAGGTATTTGAGCTAGAGAGTGACCTTATTCAGAAGGATACAGCTTTAGAGAAGGGTGATGGCAGGAAGAGAGGCAGAACCCAAAGGTTAAAGAGGAAGTTCTTATGATCACTTGCAGTGGCATGTCGGGGCCAAAACTAGGAATGGAGCTGTGGGATGGATGCATCATTAGACTGGGGTCTCCAGGAGCTGAGATCTCTGCCCGGGGCACTCTCCCACATCAAGGACAGAAACTGACTCCTCACTTGCCAGTGTGTGCCTTTGTGGCCACTCCAGCAGAACTGCTGCCTCTCCTTACCTTCCCCCAGCCTCCCTCCTGGACTCCAGGTTAGGATCAATGCTGAAGAGTACTCAAGCTGTGGAAAGCAGTAGAAGGATGGGCTGAACATGAGCGCTATTGAGTCTGTTTCTTCTGGGAGCTCGCATTTTCCCTAGAAGACACAATTGGCAGTGCTCCCATAGGAAAGGCAAGCATCAGGAATGTAATGAAAAGGCCTGGTGGATAAGATTAGACCTCTAGAAAGGGAGAGGTGAAGAGTTTAGCAGAGATGGGAAGAGCTTGGGAGGGGCTCCTAAGGAATCCTATAGGAATAGAATAGTTCTATGGAAAGGGAATAAATGTACCAGCTTCCCTTCTATTCAAACAGAGGTCTCCCATGACCCTTCTCCCCATATCTCAAAAGCTCCTTCGCCTGAATCACACATGGTGGGATTTCTTTTCCTTTTTTTTTTTTTAAACAAACTTCATTTATTTATTTATTTATTTCCATTTGTTAGTATTTTTCTTTAAATTTGACTAGAGAGAAACCGAGAAAGAGAGAGAAAGGGAAAGCGAGAAAGCAAGCCACACAGATCCAGGACTTGAACTGCAGTCGGCCATATGGGAATCCAGCACCTTTAACCACCATGTCACCTGCTGTGGCCCCCTTGGTGGGATTTCCTTTTTTTATTTTTTTGGAGAGGTTTTTGCTATAGCATGTGTGCACTTGCCAGAAAGACAGAGAGAGACACAGAGACAGAAAGTGAGAAATCATCCCTCCAGAGAGGATGGCCATGCCACAATCCCTTCTCCTCCATTCTTCTCTCGGGATCTTGGGCATGCACGTACACATGCCTGGCATGAGTTTAAGCCACTGGGTCTGGGACTTGAACCATGATTGGCTATGTGGGAGTCCAGCAACATAGCCATTAGGCCAACTGCTGATCCCACCCCATGGTGGGATTTCTAAATGGTTTCAACTTAGGATTTTGTGAGTCCATAAGAGTCAAGTGCCCAGATGGGGAATTCCTGTGACCAGATTAGACAAGTAACATAATGCTAGTCTGACATGGGCAGCATCTTCAGAAACAGTAGCCTGTACCTAGTAGCCTGGAATTCGCAGAAGTCCCAGGAACCCCTCCAAAGTACCTGCCCAGCAGGCCATCAGACATGTGTTCGTGTTGCCCCTTGCTGCCCAGGACACTCTGTGAAGTCCAGGTCTAGCATCTCTGAATCGACTACCCGAAATGCCCAAGTCAGCCATTCTTACGTTTCTGGGCCCCGGCCTCCTTTGAGAATCTGTTGAAAGCTGCAACCCTCTATCTAGAATACTGCACCATTGCCCACAATGGTATGCAACACCCTCATTTTTAAATGTAATTCCAGAGAATTTTGGGGCCCACTATAAAAACCCTACCTTTGAGCTTTCAGACTCTAGAGATACTTTACAATGTTTAGTTCAGATACGTGCAATGTTCAGTTCAGTGGAGAAAGGGGGAAAAGAAAAACACACCTTAGATCCATGGTCAGAAATCTCGGCAGTCCACTGCTGGATAAAATTTCCTACACATTTGACCATTTGATCAGATTAACCTGCTCTCATTACACACACACAAATAAGGGCTGTGTCTCTGCTGAAATACAATGTCCTTGCTCTCTGTCCTCCTACCCAGGTGCCCAGCTGCAGCCCTATGACCATGAGTCTATGGGCATTTGATATTGAGAAGGGGAGACCTGATGCCAGACTGGGGGACTTTCCTTTCCCACCTCAGAGTCAGAACCAGGGCACAGACTTCCC